TTTTTTCCGGGTCAAATTGTGGGTGTCTTATCACCCTTTTTAAAGGAAGAAGACAACCAAAATAAAAATATATAACATCTATGAATGAAGGGGAACGTTTAATTTACTGAAAATTGTAGCCGTTTGGAAATAAAAATGTAATTAAAATCAAAATAATTTATATTGTATACATGCAGCAGCAGCTGCTTCGCCGATCTCATATGTTATTAAGATGGATCAAAATCACCACCTCTTAAGTAATAAACTTAAAAGAGTTATTAGTTGACTGCTGGCTTTACCCATGGTGATTATTTTATGCTATCTTTGCTTATTCTTAAAAGGGGGTGAAGTCGGTTTACAGATTAACAGTTGAAATAGCCATTGGTCATCAGTCATCTCTTGGTGCTGCTGCGAAGAAATATTTGGGCTTTTTCAGTACATTGATTGAAGAAATAAGTGACAACAGTTAATGAAATTAAATGTTTCACTTTTGTTTTCAGTCACATTAAATGAAGAAATAAGTGTTTACAGTAGATGAAAGTAAATGTAAAGGCATTATGGTTTCTTAAGGCTACAGTTATTTTTTAACATTATCAATTTGCAGAAATTAAAGCTACTAGATTTCCATATTAAAGAACCGACATGAACCTTAATTTCAGTATCGAACCCAACAGTCTTTTGAATAGAGTAAGCGTTAATATGATTAATTATGCTTCAAACTAAAATTAACTAACTGCAAATAGCGATACTAGGAATATTAGAGTTGTCGATCACTTCAAAAATTAGGGTCACACAGACACGTTCAGGGATCCCATTATCCAGTTAGATTTAGGCCTATTCCATGAAGAGCCGTTATAAGATTTCTCTAAGTAATTAATTTCTTATTGGGTTTGAGTTTAGAAAAAAAGATCCATGTAATATTAGGTTTTAGTCTTTAAACTTAGTATATAAACTTATTTTTCGCTTGTATGAGTGTGATAGTAAATCATAGGACAATTTACATTCGTTGTAACGAGAGAGGTTAGATAGTATTTCAATAATATTGATTCTGTTAGATATAGTCTGTTAATTAGGTAAATCAGAGTAAAACGCGCGTATTATTTTTTCTCATTAATTGTTTGTGTTTATTATTTTCTTTTATTTCGTATTACTCTCATAGTTGATGATTGGAAAATGATTTTCAGGTAACTGGGCTAAAAATCACCTATATGTATGAATGCTTAATTAATAACACAATTATGACTTAATAATGATAGTTGATACTTTCAAAGCTCAGCCTTCTCATGAGGATCAGAGAAGTTTAATTAACACAAGTTGTTAACCCCACAGCAAATTTAATTAATCAAAGTTAAACACAACTTTGAAGGTCCAGAATCCAGATTAATCACATATCCTACAACTGTAATTAATTTAATTTTCTGGTGGGTCCTTTAGCTTCTGCTTTTTTTTTATCTATCTTCTCATCCACGAACTTTAAAAGCAGATAACTTGGCCTCATTAGGAAGATCTTTCTACCACTCTCTCTTATATTTTCTTCAACTAAAACAAAACAGCATATTCACTCTTTAACTCATTGTTGCTTCTCTTCAAGTCATTCTGTTATTTTTTTTTCCCAACATGAAAGGAATGGATATTTTCTGTTCAACTCCTGCTTCTACAGCCGTCTGCTCTAGCATGGTGAACCACCGTTCCATCCGCCGTAGCCATAGCTCAAAACCTTATGCTCCTTGTTCGTCACAATTGCCCATAATTCCTCGGCCTTATCACGAGAAGAGCAGAAAGAGTTCGGCTAAGCAAAGTGATTTACATAGAAAAAGCTCAGCTGATATAAGTGATCTGAACAGTACTCATGGTTCGTCTCAATATCTCCTAAGTGATAAACCTTTTATTGACTGGCTGTCGGAGTCTGATCGTGTCTCGGCATTGGTTCCTGCTGATCAGTCTGCAAAGTCTCGGCATGTAAGTTCAAACGAGTCTCTTGCTTTAATTAAGTCCTCTTCAACAACTAAGTCCCCTCAGCAGGTTTGTTATTTCGTCTGGCTTTGTTCCTCTAAATTTTGTTCCTTTTAGTTATCTTTAATTTATCTTTTCAACTACCTCTATCAGCGGTATGTTCATAGTAGATTATGGATATTTGAAACGGCAGGTTGTGGTTTTGAGGGTGTCAATTCATTGCAAGGGCTGTGAAGGAAAAGTGAGAAAACATATCTCAAAAATGGAAGGTGGGCTTTTAATTACCAGACAGAATTCTATAACTATAACCCCTTTTTCAGTAAAAAAGCATTTAAGCTGATCAAAGTCTTTAATTACTAGTTGCTTTGCCTGAACCCTAATTCATTACTCTTAACGGATTGTTCAGTCACTCACACGTAGTAGCACCGCCATATTTTATTTATATATTTAATTTTAAAAATAAAATCCAATTAATATTATCGTATTTTAAGTAGACTGTTACTACAAATTGTGTGCAGGAGTGACATCATTCAGTATAGATTTGGAGACAAAGAAGGTGACGATCATCGGGAACGTGACCCCTTTAGGCGTGCTTGCCAGTGTTTCAAGGGTGAAGAGCGCACAGCTTTGGCCAACATCATCATCGCCATCTTCAAATTCGCCTGTGGTCAACATGAGTTACTGATGATGATGATATAAAAAAGAATTAATAAAAGTAGCTAGCTAGGGTTTCTTTTATTTTCTTCTATTTTCTTTGATTAGTTAATTAATGAGCTAGTGTGAAGTACCTGTGTCTGTGTGTGTGTCTGTGTATTTACAGTTTGTGTGATTAGATCGATGCTTAAACAACTTATTAATATTAGTAATGTCCAATATGTAATGTAAATGTGTAAACTGTTTTAAGGGATTGGAATCTCCATATTAATTTGTTGTTTAATTACTCAAAAGAAGAGTAAAAGAGTTTGATACTCTGTGCTTTCTGATCATCATATAATTTCTTGGAACAAACAACAGTACCTTTCTAATTGTATACTTTATATTTAAAAATCCTGATAGTTAGGCTGGCATCTCTGAATACCCTTCTTGTTTAATTATCTCTGGAGGCCATTAATATACTCTGTGGCAAGAATCAATTAAGGTCTACCTTTAGATTATCTATTAATTAACTTGATTTTGTAATTCGAAGACAGTTCTTTGTTTTCGAAAGGAATGATACTTTTAAAATATGAAAAATAATCAAAACACATTGTGCATGTTTTCCGTGAGATTGTATCAATTTTTTGGAAAATATTTTCAACGGGAATGCTCACTATATAGCATATATATATGAACATTTATGTTTCCATGTTTAATTACTGCAACATTATTGAGGTCTGATAATGAGAAGTAGTGGAGGAGACAGAAGACACGCGGTGTCAATGGTCGGCACTCAAGTATAAGGGAATTGTGTCTGATATGGGACACAGACGTATTATCACACTTTTCCTTTTCTCTGTCTTTCTCTTCTGTCTTCACTGTTGTTTACGAAATGTCTGAATTTTTAGGTAATAATTTTATACTAATTCTTTTGGCACCATCCTAACCAAAGCTTAATTAGCCAACTATGGCAAAACCTAACTTCATAAAATCAAAAGCAAAACGTCCAGTTAACAATCAGTTAGGCAGGCAGATTTATAAAATGAAAATTGAAGCTTCCAGGTCTTGATGACATTCCCTTTTCTTTGTGTATAAATGTGCCTTCCCCACAATAAACCAAATGATGACACTTTTGTTTTGGTTGCAAGTCCATTTCAAATTCGACAAATTGTGGGGCTACGCCCATGTCCTTCCGTGCTTCTCATGTTTCAGCTTTTGAAAACTTTATTCATATCATATATCATCTTCAAAAACTCTAACCAACTTAAAGACACCATTGGCCCTTAAAAAAAAAAAAGAAAAATCAAGACAAAAAGGGATTGGAAATTAATACATATCGGTAGGTGAACACGTAAATTTGTTTATTTATCTTCTTTGACTAAAAAACTTGGACGGCTAGAAAGAAAATACCAGAAAAAGTTTGAAAAGGATTATTATATGATTGATCGATCCTTTAATTTTGGTAGATAAATTTGGTGATTTGTGTCGGCGCACCATCTATGGCGATTAGTCCATTATCTTTATCCTTTTGTACGTGAGAGAAGGGATTTAATTAGTTCTTGATGTTGCTTTACGATCTTTGAATTCTATTTCTCCTTTTCATTAACATTTTCTTGGATTGCTTCAAACTTGTGCTAAATGGGCATATTTTGAATTCTATTTTAATTCTACTTTTGACAAAATTCGGATAATTCATCAAACTATACGATATATATACTTGATACACATGTAAAATGCTCTTAATTAAATATACAAGCTTTTAAGTTTTTGTTTTTTCTCATCTTTTCAAAGATATAAATGGTATCAAGTGTAAATTTATTTTATGTCCAAAATAGTTTGTTTATAACCAAAAAGAAGGTGTGAAGAAAGAGACCACCACCAGAATATGTTAATCATAGTGAAAGTGCCAATTGAATAGTAGTGAGACTGTGTAATTCAACCAAACAAGATGGATAAAAGGTGAAAACGATGGGCAACATGTTGAGAGGATCAAGGAGCCAAAGCCAATATTGTTAATTATATCTTTATATATGTTATGCTAAGCAGACAATTTGTTTGGTTTATCTCCTTTTAGAGACATGAAATCATATTTGCTTGGAATAACTCACTCTATATGACCATATACAACAAAAGTTGTCCCTTCGGCCGTGATTAACATATTATCGCAATTGTTTTACATATGGCATATCTTGCATATTTCAAATTATTGTGTGTTTGTATTTGAGATCATTGTTTTAAAACCCGATCGACCTAACTGGTTTAACCGGGACCCGAAAGCTTCACTAGGTTAGGTTTACATTTTTCCCATTCACCCAAAACATTAGAATTTGGGATGATGATCGGCGAACAATTGAAGGCCGGGATATTGAGGCTTTTGAAGAAAAAGTACCAGTGAGTGCAATGGTGGCGACGAAGTTGATTTTTGGTGAGTAAATCAACCAAAAATTGAAAAAAAAAATGGCGATGTCAACAACTGGCTTTTGTTGGTGATTGGCGAGGCTAACAAGGGTGGGGTGAGGTGGGGTGGGTATTTTCAAGGTGATGGTAAGGGTTGTCGACGCTGGCGTCAGTGAGATCTGGCCAAAATTGAACCGATTTCTGTCAGATCTTGGATAGATTTTTAAGGTAATAGACTCAAGGGACGATTAGGTTACATTTGGGGTGTTGTTGTCGCCAACTAGTCGTCGGTTGATTTGTATTTGGGATGTGTTTGCTAAATTTCAAACCTATAGGGACTTAACAAATTTTTAGGGGTATATTTGCTAAATTTTAAAAGTTTTTGTCACCTGATTTGATCACCGGTCAAACCAGTTATACTGGTCAACCCGGGACCTGACAACTTTGTAGGGTTTTACCTCAGGTTGGGTTTTAAAACATTGTTTGAGATTGAAAAGAAAAATCAAATTTCTTTCTTAAAAATAAAGGCCCTTAATGATTAAATTGAGAAGACAAATATTCAAGGATACTGGAGTTAGAACATGTGTCTCCAAAGTCCAAGTTCCAAAGTGAATAAAGGAAAAGATAGACAGAAACTACATCTTGTATTGTATTGGTGTTAAGTTTGAAATTGTAGTTTAAATCGTAAAACTAGGTGTGAAAGGATAAAGACTTGGGAGTACACTTGCATCATGGGCCTTATTGGCTAGGTAGCCTGTCATATATACGAAGGTGGTCTAGATTTGAATTTTTGCCCCCGATTAACCCATTAAAAAAAGTTAGAAGGTGGAATGCATTTAGGTTTTGCTTTCAAAATCTATTATAAGCTCCTCAGTGTTATGAAAACTGGTCCGATTGGGAACCAATAGTCTCTCCAGTCCGATTCAAGTTCTAGGGGGTTTTTGCTATATTTTAAACCTGTAAGGACTAATTATCAATTTTATAGGGGTGTTTTTCAATACTTGAAAACTCTAGGGACCAATTTAATTCTTTTGGGCATTTTTGCGATATCTTAAAATTTTAGGGACTAATTTGTAATTTTTTAAAAATATTTTAGTTGTTGAAGTCGCCAGCCCAACTGACTGATCGGACTGGTCAACCCGGCAACCAGACCCTTGACTGGGTCTGTTGGTATTCATGCATTTTGGACATGGAAATAAAGAGAAAATGATGATCAAAATTGTGGATACAAGGTAGAACACAAACATAACATCAATAGCATGTTTCTAAAGAAAAAAAATAGTATATTACCTACTCCTTTGCTATTTAATGTTTGGATCTTCTTTCTTGGAGCCTTTATTCTTCAAACAAGATTGAAGAAACTCAAAATGTGATCCACACAAGCCAAGGAAGAGATAGCCAATTATGAGTGAGAGAGATTTTGAGTGAATAATGGTTTTCATTATGAAAAATGGTATAAGACTTTATTTTTATACCATGGGCACAAAGTGCAATTTTAAATTGTTTTGGGAAGGCCTCAAACAATTTAAAATTAACTTGAGAATAGACATTTATGTTAAGTCTTTGGTTTTATAGTTAATTCATAATTAGACCAACTTTTAACTCTATTAAATATCTAAGAATAAAACCAATGCACTTTAGCCCCCATTATTGAATTCAATTCAATAATAATATTTAATAAATCCTTATTAACCATGGTTAGTGCTAGCTATCCATGGATAATCATTTCTCTCCAATACATTAATTTGGATGCAATCGTTTATGTCTGAACATCATTAATCCGATTAATAATATGAATTACTCTCTCTCCCTGAGCTTGATTTTATATGCGACCATTTTGATTCATTGTGATATAGCCGTGGGCCCAATATTGGATTCCGATATGTTTTGTTATAACTCTTTATAATCAAAACTCCTATTGATTATGGTAGACATCTAGCAATGTTCCACAACCCTTAAACCACAATGAAGTGTAAACTCCAATGAACCTATTTTAATCGTACGTACCGTGTAGTAAAATCCTTCTGCCATCTAATTCCAATTAAGAGTGGTTCATGGCATGCCCTTAACTTAATCTTTAATCAAATTGTAGATCGATACAATGGAACTTGTCAACAAAAAACTACTTTTCATCTAACATTCATTATACTTTGGCTAGAGATTTCTCTTTTCCAATGTTTATTAACATTCGTTTAGGAACTCCAGATTTGATTGTTTTGAGTTAACAAATCTCATCTTGACCATCACTTGTCCTCGCACATGAATAACATATGACCAAACTGGCTTATTACACAAGACATGACTATTCTTATGCTTATACACCACATGAACCATATGCATCCTATGTTGAATCCAACCGTGATGTCTCAGGTCTAAGGATTAGTGGTACACTAGCACAATCCTATGATGCATCATTACCACATTCTAAACATCCATGTGATTCATTGTAATCAGTCATATTCGATAAATAGTTCACTAACCGTTTATCCATGCTAATGCCTTAGTGACATACCTCTTATAATCACCTACACTAATACCATCACATGATATTTAATGGAGACATTCAACATGCCTACTATGTAATATTATTACCCAATTAACATTATTTGCGTAGGAAATTCTTCGATGATTTGATATTCTGAAGATCCGTGT